CTGCCAGCTGTATTAATACTGAGCAAGGGCCCAGGTGAAAGAGAAGTCAGATCCTTGCAATCTTGACATGTTGAACACAAAGAGGCCCAGGGAGGATGCCTCCCAATACTTTTATGACTCTATTTTGTCTCCACTATTGGCTTGTTATCTATACCTCTTTAAACATTTTTTTAGTGGGTTGCCCTTGCATTTACAATATATATCTTCAGTTAGTCATAGTCAATCTTCAAATAATATTATACCACTTCTTATATAGCAGAAGGACTCTTTCACAGTGTGTTTCCAATTCCCATCATTTTTACTACTGTGATTGTCATACATTTTACTTTAATATGTGCTCTACATCCACCACGTATTGCTACTCTTTTGCTTTAGACACTTATCTTTTTTTTAATAAATTTATTTATTTTTAAAATTTATTATATTTTTGTCTGCGTTGGGTCTTCGTTGCTGCGTGCGGGCTTTCTCTAGTTGCGGCAAGTGGGGGCCACTCTTTGTTGTGGTGCGCAGGCTTCTCATTGCGGTGGCTTCTCTTGTTGCAGACCATGGGCTCTAGGCATGCGGGCTTCAGTAGTTGTGGCAAGCAGGCTTCAGTAGTTGTGGCTCGCAGGCTCAGTAGTTGTGGCACACGGGCTTAGTTGCTCCACGGCATGTGGTATCTTCCGGGACCAGGGCTCAAACCTGTGTCCCCTGCATTGGCAGGCAGATTCCTAACCACTGTGCCACCAGGGAAGCCCAGTTATCTTTTAAGATGATTAAAAAACAAAAGTCTCATATTTACCTTTATTCCATCCATTTCTGGAGATCTTCATTTCTTTATGTAGGTCCAGGTTTTTCTCTGGTATCATATTCTTTCTGCCTTGAGAACTTCTACCATTTTTTGTAATGCTGATCTGCTGGTAATGAATTTTCTGTTTCTGATCATCTGAAAAGAATTATTATATCACCTTCATGTTTGAGAGAGTTTCTTGCTGAGTATAGAATTGCAAGTTGACAGTCTTTTTTTCTTCCAGCATTTTAAAGATATCATTCTATTATCTTCTAGTCATATAATTTCTTCTCGAATGAGAAATCTGCTGTAATTCTTATCTTTGTTCCTCTGTAGGTACTCTGTCGTTTTCCTCTTGATGCCTTCAAGATTTTCTCTTTGTCTTGGGTTTTCAGCAGTTTGAATATGATAGATCATATTGTGTGTGTGTGTGTTTGTCTGTTGGTATTTAATGGTTTTTTTTTTTTGATTCTATGATTTTCTTCGCTCTGTGGTTCTTTCATTATTTTTGGAAAATTGTTGACCATTATTTCTACAAATGTGTGTGTGTGTGTGTGTGTGTGTATGTGTGTGTGTGTTCCTATCTCTATCTCTTCTCTTTCTGGGATTCAAATTATGCACATGTTAGCTTTGGATCTTCTGGGGGTTTTGTTCTGTTTTGTTTCACTCTTCTTTTTCTCTTTCTGTTTCAGTTTGGGTAGTCTCTGTTGACCTATCTTCAAGTTCACTGATTCTTTCCTCAGCTGTGTTGAGTTTACTGATGAGGCTGTCAAAGGCATTCTTCATCTCTGTTACAGGTTTTTAAAATTTCTAGCATTTTCCATATGACTCCTTTTTATAGTCCCCATCTCTCTGCTAAAACTCCCCTTCTGTTTATGCATGTTGTCCATATTTTCCAACAGAGCCTTTCACATATTGTTATAGTTGTTTTAAATTTTCTGGCAGGTAACTCCAGAGAGTTATCTGGTTCTGTTGATTGCTTTGTCTCTTGACAATAGGGTTTTTTTTTGTTTGTTTGTTTTTCTTAAACTGCTTTTGATGTGCGTGTTATAATTTTTGATTCCTGGACATAATGTGTAGAACAGTAGAGGCTGAGGTCAATATGATTTTTGCCTGGAAATTGTCATATCTCTTCTCTTCTTAGGCCATTAGTGTTGAGAATTGAGCCAGTCTTGTCAGGAGTTGAACAAAGTTTGGTTTTGTTGTTTCTATGATTACTTTTAGTGTCTGTGACTCCCAAGGATTCTATACTCTCATGCTAGCCACACCTGGCCTTTAGCAATAAAAAGTGTAGCTGAACTCTCCTTACCTGTTTGCACGGAAACCTTGCCTTCCTCCTACTTCAGAGGTGTGCCGTGCCTACATCCTATTTCTTCTTGGAGGTGCCTGTCCTTCTTTGGAATTCAGGTTAATTGGTTGCTCTGCAGCCTTAGCTCACTGCTGGGTTTGACGAAAGTAATACTTTTATAATTACCTAACAGTTTAAAAAAATTATTAGTGTGGTAATGATGCTCTTCCCAGCTTTGGCATCCTAGATGGAACCCAGAAGTCTAAGCCATCTACTTTTTCACTGATCCTTTCAACTCCTTTTGCCATCCACCCTTGGGTCTGCTGCCTGGGCCTCTCTCTTGGCTAATACCCTTCCAGCTTAGCCCTGTGAATTATTTCTAACTTGGATGCTTTTTCCTCTTCCACCCTTGTATGTGGCAAATATCTGGCAAAGGGACAGAGAGGTTCCTGATCTGTCACCATCTTGGGGACGGCTCAAAATAATCCATGCAGTTCTGTTCCCAGGGATAGGCCTGAAAAGGGGGGAGGTGACTTTGGGAGCTGAGCTCTCATCCACTGTACTTTTGACTTGGCCTCATTCCTCTGTGCTAGAAAACGGGACCAAGTATCTACTCCATCCATTAATGAGGAATAAGAATCAGACTGAGCAAAACATTTCTCGGAAGATGAAAGCTGCAACGGGATAAAAGCGGAGCAGGCTGGGAGCCATGGTTATAAGCACAGTCTCTGGAAGCAGCCTACTTGGGTTTGAATTTCCGCTCCATCACTTAGTTGCTGTAAGGCCTTGGACGAGTTCCTTCACCTCTCTATATCTCAGTCTCTGTATCTGTAAAATGGAAGTAAAAATAGTATTTACCTCACAGGATTATTAAGAGGATTAAAAGAGTTAATACATGCAAAGCACTTAGAACAGTGACAGGCACATAATAAGCTCTGTAGAAGGTTAGAGCCTACTTCCTATAATTTCAGAAATTCATGGAAGAAAGCAGTTTCCTCCCTTTCTCAGAATCGATTACAGTCAAAACAACTAGTGTTTATTGTTTACTGAGCATCTCCAGAGTGCCCAAGTCCTGTACTAAGCATTTTATATGAATTATCTCATAGGAGGTGGGGATTAATTATTCCTACCTAATAGGCAAAGAAATCAAGGATCAGAGAAATTGTTTACACAGCTGGCTAGACACCAGAGCTAGGTTTCCCACCCAAGGAATTCAGGTCCAAAGCCCACATCCTTAACCTATAAGATAGATATTCTCTTACTTAAAACTGCTAGGAGACTCCCAGGCCTGTGCTCCTAACCACTGCACTTTTTGCCTCCCACAAACTGGTTTCCTTGCTTGTAAAATAATGGGAAAGCTGCTTGCTGTACTTATCTCACAGGATTGTTTAGGGATCTCAGTAACAATAGAAGAGGCAGAGCTTTAGGTATTTGTACTGAGTGCTGGTCTCCTGACAGGGAAGCCTGAATATGTCCGGACTTTTCACACCTCTGTCCCTTTGTACATGCCCTTCCCCCTCTTCTCTGCTTGTTGAACTCATTTCTTTAAGACTCAGCTCAGAGGTCAGCACCCGGATTTCATTCTAACAAAGGAGGGATTTAAGCAGGGGGTGGCACATCGGACCTGCGTTTTTGAAATGACTGCTGTGGGGTTCCATGGTTAGCACTCTCGATTCTACAGTGACGACTAACTGCTGTGGGGATGGAGCGCCGCAGGACCAGAGTACAAGAAAACCAGAGAGAAGGTTTCCGTAGGAGCCAAGGGAGAGATGGTGGTGGAAACGGAGAGAAGCGGCGGATTGAAAAGATATTTAGGAAAGAGAATCGACAGTTAATGGAGATGTGTTTTAATGTGGGCATTGAAAGACAGGGAGATGCCAAGGATGACTCCTAGTTTCTGGCTTGCTCGTGGATGTTTGTTGAATGAATGATCGAGTGACCCCACGGCAGAAGCATCTCCGACAGACGCCCCCCTACCCTGCCACCCCGCCGTTTCTGGAGCTACGTACGGGCACAGGGTGGAAGGGAGGAGGAGGAAAATAAGCACAGTGCCTCGATCCAGGAGACTTGTGGCCCTGGTCTGAGCCAGGAGGCACTGCGAGAGGGGCAAGCGTTTCCCCTCTGGGCCCACAGTTTCCGCTTCGCTCCTCCACCCCCGCCAGGCGGGACGCGCAGCGTCCCTCTTGGCACCCCGGAGGAGTTGGCTTCCCGCCGGCGTCCACCCCCCACCCCGCCCCGTCCCCGCGCCCACCCCGCCCAGTGCGCTGGAAGGCTGGACGGCGGCCCTGCCCATCCCGGAGCCGGGAACCGGGGGCTGCGGGGTGAGTCCCAGGGTAAGGGGGCCTCCGCCACAGTGCACCTGCCCTGATGGGCGGCAGCGAGTCCCCAGTCCCTCTGACCCTGCATACGCCTTCTCGAGGGGTGTGCGTCTAAGCGTGCCGAACGTGGCCGAGGGTGCTGGGGAGTCCGGGTGCCGGCGCGTGGAGCTTGCGTCGGGGCTGCCCGGGAGTCGGGGAGCAGCCGGGAGCAGGGGCTGAGAGCCCGCGTATGGGAGCGCGCGGAGCCGGGCGGAGCGCCGAGGGGCCCGACGGGTCGCGGGGAGGAGGGATGCGTGCCGGGAACTTTTTGCCCGCCCTGGAACTGCGAACGATCGCGCCCGCAGGGGCTCCTTGCGGCCGCCGGGCGACCGGCAGAAGCGTGTGTGCCCGCCGCCGCCCCTCCCCCACTTCCGCCTCCCGCCGCTTCCTCGTTCCCGGCTCCCAGGGCCAGTCCGTCCCGGGGGAGACCCGGAGGCGCAGCCCCACCCCGGCCAGCGCTGCCCGGTACCACGCCCCCACCGCCGTCGCGCCGCAGCGGACAGCCTGAGTCAGCGGGGGCTCTGGGCGCGGCAGGTAGGGGCTCCGCTGGGCGGGCGCAGGTGCAGCGGGAGGCCGGGGGGGAGCGCGAGCGGAACGGCCGGGGGACCCCTCCGCCTTCCCCCCCTTCCCCCGCGGTCGCGGCGTGTCCCCTTTTAGGGAATTCTTTCGCTCTCGCTGACTCCAGTGCGGGTGGGGCAGCACGAAGAGGGAGCGCTCCATTCCACTGGCCGGGCCCCTGGCCGCCTCCGGCCACCCAAATCTCTACAGCTCTCTCCACCCCTCTCCCCTGCACCTTCAGTTATGTAAACACCCCCCTTCCTCTCCCCAGCGCTTAGCTCCGCACCTACCCAGGGGGCAGCCCCTCCAGTTTCCTGAGGTTGATGGGGTGAGGGGGAAAGAGAGGGGGCGTCCCGGAGCCCGTGGTCCCCTCCAGTTCCCCGACCCCCGACCCTCTTTGTCGCCCTTCCCCGCCCCCAGACAGCCCCAGAGGCCCTGGGTATTTTTAGTATTGTGACCTGGGCGGCAGCGCTAAGAGCCTTTCCCAGGAATCGGCGTCAGCGCCTCCCTCCTCCGCTCCCAGCCCCGGCCACATGGTCTCCCCACACTTCCTTGGCCCTGCCTGGCCCACTTGGGTTTGGGTCTCTCGCGGCCCACCCCAGCGCCGGTGGAGCCGGCCAGGGTCTCAGATATGCCGAGTCCAGATGAGGTGGGGAAGGCAGTAGGCGGAGGATGATGATCTGGTCCTCAAGCTTGATACTCCCTTGCCTCCGGTGATGGGCTCAGGAACGGAATGGAGCGAATCCGAGTGAATGGCGTTCTGGAAAGCTCTCGGCACTGGGGGCCGGAAGGCCTGGTCTGAATTGCACCCTTCCGATTGCTACTCGATGCCTAGTGGGGAGAGCAGACATTGAGATGTGTCAGAGGAGAGGAGCTCAAAGAAAGAGCTGTGGGGGGCAGCGAAGAGATGGTGTCCTGTAAATAGCACGGGGACCAGAGCTTTCCGTTTTGCAGAGCACCTTCACCGCCTGTGTCTTGTGCTGGAGGCAGGTAGGAGGATGATGCCATTTTCAGATGCGGAGACTGAGGCTGGAAAGCTGACTTCCTTAGGGGCAGAGCCAAGCCTAGAAGTCTGTGATTAAAGAGCAGGGTTTGGAGGGGATGCTGGTGGTGGTGGTGGTGTGTGTGTGTGTGTGTGTGTGTGTGTGTGTGTGTGTAGAGAGAGAGGGAGAGTAGGGGAGGGGGTACTTTAGCTTTCGTCTGGGTTTTGAAGAATGGCCAGGAACCAGAGCTGCAGCCTGGAGGAAGGGACCTTCCTCTCTGTCCTCTTCCCCAGCCTTCTGAGGAGAGGCTGGGTCCATTGAGCGGAAGACGTGCCTCCCCCATTTGAGCTGAACCAGCCCTTCCAACCCCTCTCCGAAGGGCATGATGCTGAGACTTGGCCATTGACCGCGTTCCCTGAATACAGAGGAGCCTCTTTTGCTGTGCCTGGAACTGGCATCCCCTTTGTGGAGCTAGGGTCAGCCCCGCCTCTGCGTGAGACTTGAAGTTTGTGGTAATGGACTTTGTTTTAGGAAAGGGGAGGAGGTAGTCAAGTCGAGAGGCTCCAGTGCTGGGATGCTGGCTGCAGGGGGGCTCCCCAAGCCCAGGCCCCCACGGAATCCCCTCTCAACTTCATAGCTGTACTTGCTCTTCCAGGAGCTGACATGGACCCAAATCCGCGGGCAGCCCTGGAGCGCCAGCAGCTCCGCCTTCGGGAGCGGCAGAAATTCTTTGAGGACATTTTACAGCCTGAGACAGAGTTTGTCTTCCCCCTGTCCCACTTGCATCTCGAGTCACACAGACGTAAGTTCTGAATCCTGGGGAGAGGGACTAGGGTGGGGCAGGGAGGAAGTCCTATAGGTCCTGAATCTTGGTACCTCCCCCCTGGTTTTCTTGGCCCCCTAAACGTCTTATCTCCAGACCTGACATATGTCTCTGACCATCCTGTCAGTTCTGGCCTGGCTCCTCCTGACTTGCCCCCTTCTTGATCTGCAGCCCCCATAGGTAGTATCTCATCCATGGAGGTGAATGTGGACACACTTGAGCAAGTAGAACTTATCGACCTGGGGGATCAGGACGGAGCTGACGTGTTCTTGCCTTGCGAAGATCCTCCACCGACCCCGCAGACATCTGGTATGCCCCTTTACTTCGGGCACTTGGGCACCGGTTAGCCAGAGCCGGATGTCAGGGCTCTGAAGTGAGGTTGCAAGGCTGGACTGGGGAAGTGTGCATGTAGGGGCTGGGAGTGGGCATTTCCACCCATGAAACAGCTGTCTGTTCTGATTTTAGGGAAGTTGACCTTGAGGGAAGCTGGGTTACAGATTCCTAATCCAAAACTCTAGGAAGGCCCAACCCCCTCAGCCTTTGTCAATTTTATATTTGTGAAATTAATGTAGTTAATTAACATAATTAAAATAACATAAAAATATGATTTTTATATTAGACAACTTAAGCAGTTTTAGTCATCTTAATATTTATTTTGCACTTTATTAGGTTTCTAATACTGTGCTAAGCTATTTTACATATATTATCTCAGTCCTTTCAATGTCCTATGAGGGCAGGTGGGATTATTCCCATCTTGTAAAGAAGGACATTAGAGGGACTTCCCTGGTGGTCCAGTGGTCAAGACTCCAAGCTTCCAATGCAAGGGGCGTGGGTTCGATCCCTGGTCAGGAAACTAAGTTCCCACATGGCATGCGGCCAAAAAAAAAATATATATATATATATATATATATATATATATATATAAAAGAGGGACATCAGACTCAGAGATATTGTTGTCACATAGCCAGAAAGTAGAGAAGCTGGATTCGAACCAGAGCTATCTGACTCCAAAGCCCACATCCTTAACCTATAAGATAGATATTCTCTTACTTAAAACTGCTATTGGGCTTCCCTGGTGGCGCAGTGGTTGAGAGTCCGCCTGCCGATGCAGGGGACGCCGGTTTGTGCCCCAGTCCGGGAAGATCCCACATGTTGCAGAGCGGCTGGGCCCATGAGCCATGGCCGCTGAGCCTGCGCGTCCAGAGCCTGTGCTCCGCGACAGGAGAGGCCACAGCAGGGAGAGGCCCGCGTACCGCAAACAAAACAAAAACAAAATAAAAAAGAAAACCTGCTATTTATTGGTGGTCTATGTGCCAGACAGTTTATGAGCATTCTCAGATTTCATCCTCAAAACCCTCTGGAATGTCGGGGTCCCTTTTTTACAGAGGAGGGGCAGAGTCCTTGAGAGGGAAAGTAAGTGACTTGCCCAAAACTACTCAGTAGCAAGGAAGTGACGTAGGTAGAATTTGAACTCTTGACTTGATTGACCAGACTCTAGATCCCAGATGTGGTGTGGTGAAGTGGAAGGAACTGGGAGTCAGGAGCCTGGCCGGGTGACTGGTCAAGTCCCTGCTCCCCTCTGGGCCTCAGTGTCTCCTGGCCAGAGCGCCTCTAAGAGTCCTCTGAAGCCCTGTTCGTGGCCCTGACGGGCTCTTCTCTCTGGGCAGGGGTGGACGACCGTCCCGAGGAGCCGAGCCTGCCAATGCCCATGGCAGACAGGACCACATCCCGCACTTTCTCCTCGTCCTCTGACTCCTCCACCAATCCGCACAGCCCGGATGTCAGTGATGGCGGAGCAGACACGCCCTTGGCACAGTCTGACGAGGAGGAGGATGGGGGAGATGGCGGGGCAGAGCCTGGAGCCTGCAGCTAGCAGTGGGCCCACACCTACAGACTGATTGAGCTGCCTATTCTCCACTTGAGACCGCAGGCCCAGCCAGAGCGCTTCGGAGAAGACCAGACTCTTTACCTGCAGTAGGCACCAGAGGGGGGAAAGGACGGTGGGTGGTGTACCTTTCTGGGAATTAACCCGCTCCTGCTTGACTGCTAACCTTTCCCTGCTGCAACCTCCCTGCCAGGTTTTGGCTTACTCCTGAGGTAGGGCCTGCAAGTGAGGAGATGGAAGACGAGATAGGACAAGATGCCACTGCTTTTCTTAGCACTCTTCCCTCCTCCAATCTATCCTGCAGTCTCCTGATAGCGTCTCCTAAACCAGTGTCTCTAAATGGATGTGAACTCCTTAACACTCCCAGTGAGATGGTACTCCAGCCATCCTGCTTCCTTACATCCTTTTCGGAACAGGGCACGGTATGAATAATAAACAGATAATAATATGCCAACCATTCCATTTCATCTGTTCACATTGTACAGATATCAAACCCAATACATTTCTTTAGCTCTCTGACCAATACCATATTCCCATGACTCATTTACTCCATGTATTCAAGAAGTCGTTATTTGGAATTAGCTGCAGATTTGGAATACAGTTTTGAACAAGACAGGCTGCCTGCCTTCATGGAGGAGAAAATCAAGTCAGCACCACAATTCACAGCGTAATAAGTAGCATGCCGAGGAACTGTTCTGTTACCGGAAAATGGTAACAACTCCCTTAACCTGGCTTTTATGGTCGTTGAAGAGGTGACTTTTAAGCTGGGTTGCAGAGGCTGAGGAGGAGTTAGCCAGGTGGGGCTGTAACCCAGGCAGAAAGAGCAGCTTGGAAAGACTTTAAATGGAGAGAAAAGTCCCGAGGAACTGACAAACATTCAGCTTGACTGAATTGTTGAATTTGAGCAGATGAAGGGAGAGGCAAGATTGACAAAGGTCAGGTCATGAAACGCTTTGAAGCCTGTATCAAGTTTCAGTTTGCTGGTAAAATATCAGTGACTTAAGGTATAAACCTGGTTTCCTCATGTAAAGGAAGTCCAAAGCACAGGGCGATGTGGTCGCTCCACAGTTATTGGACACCAGGGTCCTTCTGGGCTCTTTTTGTGCAGCCATCTAAGGCCCATGGCTGGAATTCTCATTGACACCTCGTGGCTGAAATGGCTGTTGAGGCCCCAGCCACCATGTCTCTGAAGCTGGTGGAAAGAAGGAGAAGAGATTAAGGATGGGCAAAAAAGGCCCGGCCTGCTGCCGAGTCCCATCTCGACAAGCATTTCTGGAAGTTCTAACCAATAGCGTCCACTTACATCTCATTGGCCAGAACTTGGTAACCTGAGGGATGTTTCATTTACAGATGTTTTATAGACTTAGGGACACAACATTATCTAGAAGAAAGGAAATTCTGGCGTTTGGAAAGACAATAACCCTTCAAGTTTCAATTACCAATGCGTCTGATTCCTATACTTCCTGTCAGACCTCTCAGAAGCACCCTGGCTACTGCAGAGGCTGGGGTAGTCCTTTGGTAGGACACCCTGCAGTCTTGATAAAATCAGGGTTATGTTACTGAGAAACAAGGGGACAGCAGTCATTGGGTAGATAACTAGCAGTTTACACGTTACGACTTTGAACTTTATTGGGAGTAATGAAGGATTACAAGTGGTTGATGTTGCTTCCTAAAAAGATAATTCTGGCTGCAGTGTAGAGAACATACTGGAAGAGGACAGGCTCCAGACAGACGTAACACAGTAATCCAGGCAAGAGACAACGGTGGCCTAGAAGATAGTGGTGATGATTAGCTTAACTGGGTTGAGGCAGGGTATGAGCAAATAAATGACATTCATTCAATAAATATTAAATGTCAGTGTTAACATGTGTAAGACACTGAGCTTGGCCTTGGGAATGTGGTAGTGGCACAAAAAAAGAAAAAAAAAAAGACCCCATCCTGCTCTTATGGAGTTCAGGGTCTATTGGGGACCCAAATGTAAAACTGCAACCAGGACTAGTGCTAGGAAGGAGTTAATAGCCTATTAAGAGAGGTCAAGAGGTGTTTGCCTGGAGGAAGTGGTTTTGAGCTGAGATCTGAAAGTGGAGTAGGAGTAGTTTAGGAGGAGAATGGGTGCAAGGACTCCTGGTAGAGATGTACTGATTGGAGGGGACCAGAATGGATGCCTGGAAGCCAGGAGATGATTGTAGCCATCTAGGTAAAAATGGAATAGCGTGGAGGTGGGGCGGCTGTAGAAAAGTGGAAGGAATGGAGAGATATTGGGGAGGCAAATTTCAAACTATTTTCATAGGTAGGTGTGAGAGAGGAAGGGCTCAGGGGTGCCACCCTTGCTTCTGCCCTGTGCTGCAGGGTAATTTGGAGGGTTCTTCATCCAGATGGGGAGTTTAGGAGAGCACTAGGTTTGGGGAAGAGGCCATAAATTGGGTTTTGGACATGTTGAGTTCGAGTTGCTTTTGAGACCAAGAGGACATTTTGAGTAGGCACTTGGACGCATGAGAGTGGAATGTAGATCAGAGGATTGGGCTGGAAAATCAGTAGGTGACTTATCAGTACGTAGGAGGTAAGTTTAGGTATGGGTGCAAGTGAGCTTGCCCAGGGAGAGACTGGAATAAAAGGAGGGTTATAGGACCTAGCCTTAAGGAACATCAAGTCATTTTTCATATTAGAAAAACTAAATCATTCCACCTCCCTTCATACATCAAACCATCCATGGAGTCAGTGACCTTCGGCCTAAATCGCAAAGCTCTTTGTACCATCCAGGCTGAGTGACAGGGGTGCAGTCTTCCCAATAGCCCCATTTTGCTTCCACCCCTGTAGGAGGCCATTGTAAGTGACAGTTCTTAAGTGCTTTTCCTAGCGCTACTGAAAAACTTGTGGGAGTTCTGTGTTCCTTTTGTCTAAAAGTGTCTGTGTCCAAGTTGAGATCATCCACTGTGCTGGGCCAGGGCCCGGCCTCATGTTAAATTTTGTGGTTTTTCTGGGTTGCCGATGACTTTGCTGCACACAGAAGACATGGTCTCCGCCCTCTTGTTCTTTGTCCTCTTGTCCCTTCCTTTGGAGTAGCGAGGCTCAGCCTCCGGTCTGACTGCGGCTGAGCCTTCTCCTGGGGTGCACCCCATAATATCCACAGGTCAGCTCTGAGGGCTTCTCAGCTCCTGGGATCTCCCCATTCTCCTCCAAGGTGAATGATGGGAAGCTAGCCTAGCTTGGTTGCTGTCAGCATGTCAACAACCCCAGGCACACAATGCTAAGATCTGTGGGGTCTGGGGCAGGGAGCCTGTCCAGGGAGAGGGATCGGCAGCCCTCTGGAGAGGTGGAATTGTTTGTGAGCCTACGGGGAGCCTCCAGTTCAGCTGCTATGAGCCCCAGCCCCGCCTGGGAAAATCTAGGGTCAGCTGAGACCCCAGGACCACTTCCTGTTTGGACAATGACCTCTTCTTCTGCCAAACCACAGGGGCTTGGCTGGCCTTCAGAGCCAGAGCCAGCATCTCCAGCTGACTGTTTTATTTGAGGCCACACAGGGCCCTTGGAGATGGGGGATGATTTGGCTCCAACTCCGAGGCAAGCAGCCCAGCTATCAGTCTCCAAGCCACAGTGTGGTGTCTTCTGTCCATTGCATAGACTTGTCATAGACTCTTGAGAGGAGGGAAGAAGACAGACTCCTCCTGTAGAATCCTGTGCTGTGGAGGAAATAGGAGGGACCACATCTCAGGGGAAGATTCCCAGGACGGCTCACACTGTAGTAGTCCCCAGGGGTGCACAGAACTTGATACTGTGAACAGTATGGCGGTGTGGGGACAACATGGAACGGTGTTATGATATTTTCTTGTTTGTTCATTCAAATATTACTGAGCCCCCACTATGTGCTAGCCTCCTTGCTTATGCAACAGAAACACTAAGGTGGCCAAGAGCTCTTCCAGGAAGAGACATGGCTACAGATAATGGAACTATAATGTGGGCTGTAGCACACTAGAGAGGGAGAAGGCAGGTCTTCTCTGGGGGTGGCTGGGTCTTGAGTGATGGGGACAGGCAATTTCAAAAGGAAACAAAGCATAGAAGTACAAGGTAATCATAATCATAACAGCAACTCCCTTAAAAAATTTGTTTTTGAAGTTGATAGTGTGGACTCGAGTTCTGGCTCCATCACTCACTGTGATCTTAGGCAATTATCTCAGTTTCTGTACTCAGTTTACTCATCTGTAAGATGGAGATAATAGTGCCTGCCTCATAGAGCTCTTGGAGTAAAGGTTAGTTGAGGCTATTAAGCACTTACTACATTCCAGATTCTACATGTACCTGATTTCTGATCCTTACAACAACCCTGAAAGCAGGTTTATCTGTTTTACAGAGCAGGAAGAGTGGCACTCAGGTTGCTCATGCTCATATGGATTAAAGGCTGGTGTGGGGATTTGAACCCACGTCTGTCTGACATCTAAGCTCGTGGCCTTCCTTCTATTCCATGTCTAGTGGGGCAGGAACACTGGATGTAAGTAGAATGAGAGCATAATGAGACAAAGACGTCTTTTTGACACTTCCTCTCCAGTTGGTCAGGGGTATATCTAGGCAGACCCGGCAGACACCAAATCTCTGGTTCTTCAGAGCCAGATGGTTGTCAGTTTTACCAAAAGACTCTACAAAATCCTTCATGAATGTGTACCCCATTGGGCAGGTGGAAAAACCAAAGCAGGAATTGCTTGGAACTCCTACAACTCAAGTCAGCACAAAAGGGGAGAGGTGGAAAAAGATTTTAACAGATCTTTCGCAAAAAAGATATGAATGGCCAAGAAGCACATGAAAAGCTGTTCAACATCACTAGGTACCACGGAAATGCAAATTAAAACCACAATGAGATACTACTACAAACACGCCCACGTGGCAAAAACGAAAAAGCCCCGCAAATTAAATGTTCACCAGGATGTGGAGCAATGGGGACTCTCATACATTGTTGGTACAAGTATGAAATGACATGTTTTGGAGAAAGATCTAGCAGTTTCTTGTAAAATTAAACATATACCTATTCTTTGACCACTCCTAAATATTTACCTAAAAGAAATGTAAGCATATGCCTACAAAGAAACTTGTATAGCAGCCTAGCTCATAAGAACTAAAAACTTGAAAGAGCTCAGGTGTACATGGACAGGAGAGCAGATAAACTATGGTATATTCAGACAATGTATGACTACTACACAGAAATGACACACACTGCTGATACATGCAAGAACATGAATGATTCTCCAAAACATTCTTCCCATGAAAGAAGCCTTTTACAAAAAAAGTACACATACTATATGATGATTTCATCTATACGAAGCTCTAGAACAGATTAATCCATTTTCTGGAGAAAAATCAGAACAGTGGTTGCATCTGGAAGGCAGGGGTCACAGACATTGCCTGGCAAGGGGCATTAGCCAACTTTCAGGGATTTTCCAAACATATCTTGAAGAGTTACACAGGTGTATCCATTTGTTGAACTCAATGAATGTGCACCTCAGAGTTGAGCATTTCATTGTTTGTAAATTTTACACCAAAAGAAAAATGTAAACAGCTATGGAACTCTAGTTAATGATATGCATGCTGAACCATTTAAGGGGAAGTGTCCTTATGTCTGAAATTTCTTTGAAATGCATCAAAACATAAGATGAATTGGGGGAGATAGAAGCTGATATGTGATAAAACAAGTGCAGTAACATGTTAATAGTGGAATCTGGGTGATGCGGATACAGATGTTCATTTTAACAGGTATTCATCCTTTCAACTTTGTTGTATGTTTGAAATTTTTCATAATAAAAGGGTGAGTTATTTGAGGGTTTTGCAGTAAAGTTCTTGGCTAGGCTTAGGACAGGGCAAATAGAGACACGAAGCTCAGGGAGACAGTAGCCTGGCAGTGTGACCTTGCAAAAGTAATAATTTTTCAGTCTGTTTCTTCAACTATCACGGAGGCACAATGGCGGTCGGTATTATTAAGAACTTTGTCGTGGGGAAAGGGGGGGTCCTCAATCCAGGTCCCAGCCACGCCACGTGCCCACTGCCCTTCGTGCCCTATCAGCGCCCCTTTACACCCAGCAGCCCTTCAAAGGCCTATCCTGGCAGTCGCTGTCGTAGCCGCACCCCGGCTTCCGGGACGGCACCGGAAGTCGCTTCTCAAACGCTCTTCCTATTGGAAGCCGGCCTTTCGCGGGGGCGGGGCCATTGGGAGGCGGAAACAGCCGCAGCTATGGCGGCGGCAGCGCCGCTTTCTCTGCTGGTGCTGCTGCTTCTCGGGCCGGGCGTCTGGGGCCAGACGGAGCCCCCACGCGACAGCCTGCGGGAGGAGCTCGTCATCACCCCGCTGCCTTCTGGGGACGTAGCCGCCACATTCCAGTTCCGCACGCGCTGGGATTCGGAGCTGCAGCGGGAAGAAGGTGAGAAGAGGACACTGACGGGAGAAAGATATCTGTGGCACCTGCTGGGAGTGGGGTGGAGGCTAGCCTTGGGGGCGAGGACTGATCCTTGGGTGAGGTTCTGGTCCCTGGGCTTGGGGCCTGACACAGATGGTCCTTGTAGAAGGATGGGATAGTTTTTGAAGCATCCCGTTATACCAGTGAAGAAACTGAGCCCCGGAGAGGAGCAGTGACTCTTCCTGACTTCTAGTCCAGTGCTCTCTCCGCAGCTCCAGGCTGCCACTCTAAACATTTAGTTAAAACCCTCTGTTGACAACACTGATGATGATGCTATTGACGGTTACGGTTTATCGTGGGTGCTGGGCACGGTGATAAGTTCTGTGAATGGTTACAAGGAAGAAATTGGAGATATAGAGAGGTAAGGCACCTGTCCAAGATCACATCGCTTGTAAGTGACTGAGTCTGGTCAGGAATCTAGATTCCTCTGACCCCAGAACTGGGGTGTATTGTCTCTTTGGGGTGGCTGAGAACCCTCCCTCCAGGATCATCACTCACCTGCACCTCCTTCTCCAGTATCTCATTATAGGCTCTTCCCCAAAGCACTGGGGCAGTTGATCTCCAAGTATTCTCTACGGGAGCTGCACCTGTCCTTAACCCAAGGCTTCTGGAGGACTCGATACTGGGGGACACCCTTCTTGCAGGCCCCATCAGGTGCAGAGCTGTGGGCCTGGTTCCAAGACACCGTCACTGAGTGAGTGCCCACCTTGAGGCCTGTGGCAGGCTGTGCTGGGAACATGGCAGGGCAGGTGGTGTCCTCCTGCTACTGCCCCTGGGGGCAGCAGTTCCATGGGGGTAAATATGGCGTTGGAAGTAAGAAATATTATGACGTAGTGGCATTCTTGGCTGAATATACTTCCTTCCCCTAATACTTCCAGACCTGAGGTAGCGAATGTGTATATCTACAGATGTAGATAACAAATATGTGAAGCTTACTTAGATGTAAGGCAGTAGGAAGCTGTGGCAAACTGGACAGCGTTTTAAAAGACATTCATTCACATAATAATAACAAAATGCCACAAGGGCCAAACAAAGTATATGTGGGCTAGAATTGGCCTATAAGACACCAGATCTCTGTGTTAGAAAAATTGCTTTTATTTGCGGGGCGGAGGGAGGTGGTTAGGTACTGTGGTTGGACCACAGTATCCTCTTAATCCAACTGTGGGAAATCAGTAGCACGTGTATGATTAAAAAAAAAAAATTGGAGTCAGAATAGGGAGTGATGAGGCCTGTGGCAGAGCTTGGGAGGACAGCTGCTACTCAATCCTATGGATTGTTGCCACGTGGGAATAGGGGCCTAGGGTCGTCAGATACTCTCATTTTTAACAAGTTACCAGCAATCTGGATTTTAATGTGAAAATTGGCAAGTTTAAGTATCAGCAAGTAATTAAAAAATTTAAGAAATGCCACATGGGTTAATGTTGTGCACATCAAATGAAACATGGCTATGGTTTTGGGTAGAGCTTTCAGGCTTCCAGTTTGCAATCTTTATTTGAGGCCTAAGGATTGGAGCAATTGGAAAGCTCTGAACAGAGGACTATTGAAAACCCCCAGGACAGCTCTCAGGTGATGTCAAATGAGGAGCAAACCCCACAGTAGCCAAGGCTTCCTCTCTTGTCTGAACCCTGGCTTCTTTGCCTTTTGTCCCATCTGCTCTGCTGTCACTGTCTCCCCTCATAATTACCTATAATATGGAGGTGATGTTCAGAATTCTAGTTTTATTCTGTTATTAGTATAAAGAGCAAATCTGTTTTGGTATTTCTCTAAGAAAAAAGTCTAATTTAATTTGATGTTTCTGTGGGGTCCTAGAATGCTTGTTTTCCCTTGCTCAGTGAGCCTCTGTAGATGTAAGACTTCCCAACCCTGAGCGTAGAACCAGGACTCACCCAGGGTTTTCACAGGGAAGTATGTCGTTTTGCCCAGCTGAGCACACCTCAGGTTGGATCAGTGAGCTGATCTCAGCCTCTGGCGTGTGGGGCGTTTTGCATAGCATTGTGGGAGGTACGTGGGTGACCCAGACTTGCTCCCTGTCCTCAGGTTGCTCACAGCCTAGTTGAGGAGAAAAGATGCTTAGGACGAGATGCTGTTGCCACCCAGCCATTTCCCAGGAGGACCCTGGTGAGAGGCTCGGATGGTCAGAACTGCAGCAGCCCAGGAGGAGGCTGTGGTTGAGGAGGGCGGCAAGGCTTCCTGGAGGAGGGAACCTCTTCGAAGGGGAGCAGAGAGGAGTTAGGAGGGCATTACTAGGCGGGAGGAGGAACCACCCAAGCAGAGGCCTCTGGGGTTGCAGGGGTGTCCAGAGGGGAGTGAGGAAGCAGACGCAGCCCTGGGACAGTGAGTGGGTTTGTGTCTCCGTTTAGTGTGGATAAGTCCTGGAAGGAGCTCAGTAACGTCCTCTCGGGGATCTTCTGCGCCTCTCTCAACTTCATTGACTCCACCAACACAGTCACGCCCAGCGCCTCCTTCAAACCCCTGGGGCTGGCCAATGGTGAGACAGCCTCCACGGCCCCTTCCTTCTTCCTGTTCCTCCTACCCAAGCCTTTGCCTCCTTTCCCCTCTGCTTCCTTCTTCCTCAGCGGGGCCAGGTCATAAATCCCCTGGGTGTGCAGGCCCCAGAGGAAGGTTTCCCAAGACTCTGCTGTCTCCGCATTGCCTTCTCCCAAAGGGAGGAGGGTGTCCTCCCCGCTTCCCCCTGAGCTGACACTGTTAGGGCGGTGGTACTAGAGAGTATGTGTGGGTCCTGAGGAGGGGCGCCCCGAGAGCCTCCCCAGACAGGCTTCCATCTCTCAGGCACAGATCACTCCTTCCTGCGCTATGCGGTGCTGCCTCGGGAGGTCGTCTGCACTGAGAACCTCACCCCGTGGAAGAAGCTCTTGCCCTGCAGTTCCAAGGTGAGGCCAGAGGGGCCTCAATGTAGGTGGGAGCCCCAGAGAGTGGATGGAGTCGGCAGATGCCCCCTCACTGCCTGACAGATAACCTCGGCCCCATGCCCGGGTGCCCTGCCGTGTGGGACACTGACGTTTTCTCTCTTGCCACCTCCTCCAGGCAGGCCTCTCTGTGCTGCTGAAGGCTGATCGCCTGTTTCACACGAGCTACCACTCCCAGGCAGTGCATATCCGCCCTGTTTGCAGAGTAAGTCACGGGGAACAGGCGATGGGGGCCATCCAGGGGCTCTGAGAGAAGGTGCAGGTAAAGCACATAGCCCAGTGTCTACCGAGGGCTGAGCCAGTAGTCAGTGGGAGATGTGATGATGATGAGTCAGGGCACTGGCCACGCACCAAGGAAACCGAGTGGTTGCCTGGCAAGCATTCACTCAGTCTCCGTCGTGGTTAAGAGTGATAGCCATGTGGGTGCAGCTGCTAGCTCAGCCACTCACCAGCTGACTTGACCTTGAGTGAGTCATTTTAGTTCCCTGGTTTTCTCATCTGTCAAATGAGAATAATAGTAGTATCAGTTCCTCTGGTTGTCGGCGATGGTTCATCCCAGTGATGCGCGTTAAGCTGCCGGCACGAGGGCAAGTGCTCGGTAGTGGGTGGTAGCAAACTGATGGATGGGGAGGTACAGGATGGACAAGGGACTGAGTCCGGGTAGTAGTCCCTGGGGCTGTGCGGCTGGGGGAGTGGCAGGTCCTCACTGCTGCCTTCTGGCCCTCATGGTAGGATGCACGCTGTGCCAGCATCTCCTGGGAGCTGAGGCAGACCCTGTCCGTTGTATTTGATGCCTTCGTCACGGGGCAGGGGAAGCAAGGTAAGCTGCCCACCCACTGCCAGCCCCACCCCATCTACGTGGAGCAGGCCTAGTCCCGCCCCTGCTCAACCCCTCTCTCTGCTCCTCAGACTGGTCCCTCTTTCGGATGTTCTCCCGAACCCTCACAGAGCCCTGCCCCCTGGCTTCGGAGAGCCGAGTCTATGTGGACGTCACCAACTATAGCCAGGTACTAAGACTAAGGCCTCCAGCCACACACATCGCCCCCCCCCCAGCCCCCAAGACCAGCCTGCCCCTCCGCTCGCTTCTCAGCCCTGCCGTTGTGTCCCCAGGACAATGAGACATTGGAGGTGTACCCGGCCCCGCTCACCACGTACCAGGACGTCGTCCTGGGCACCCGGAAGACCTATGCCGTCTACGACCTGCTGGACACGGCCGTGATCAACAGCTCGCGCAGCCTCAACCTCCAGCTCAAGTGGAAGAGACCCCCAGGGAATGGTGGGTGGGAGGTGGGCAGCCGCAGCCCCCATAGGCTACAGAGGGTTCAGCTCGTGGGGGAGACTCACAGTCCTGCCTCTTCACCGCGAGGTAACAGGCTTGTGTTTAGACCCAGAACTCTTGAGTCAGACGTCCTGATTCTAACTCCACCTCTTCTAAGCTCTGTGCCCTTGGCAGGTTCCTAACCTTACTGCCTCGTCTTGAAAGCGGGGACAGTAATACCTAGCGGATCAGGTGAGGTAATTAATGGAAAACATGGAGGTCAATCATGCATTCATTCATTCAGTCAACAAAATTTTTTTTGAAGACAGAAGTACCCTGCTTTCGAGCAACATTAACATCTGATAGTTGAAGCAGGCATCAAACAATTGTGATTATGTTCAGTGTTACCAAGGAAAAATGTGAAATATCGTGAGGAGCACTTGGTTTGGGGGCACAGAGCTCGGCCTGTATAAGTACTTAGTAAATATTAGTAATTCTGTTATCATTGCTGTGGGTTGGGGAAGCCAGGGATGGTTCCAGAATGCAGGTTTCCCAGTTATGATGGCAAAGCATTACCCCCTCCCCTCCCTGGCTTTGAGACTCTGAACCTGGCCCAGGCAGTGAAGGTGGGGAATGATGCTTTTTTTTTTTTTTTTTAAAGGAGTGGTTAACTGTTGACTTTTCTCTGAACAGAGGCCCCACCCACGCCTTTCCTGTACGCCCAGCGGTACGTGAGCGGCTACGGGCTGCATAACGGGGAGCTGAGCACGCTGCTGTATAACACCCACCCGTACCGGGCCTTCCCCGTGCTGTTGCTGGACACTGTGCCCTGGTACCTGCGGCTGTACGTGCACACCCTCACCATCACCTCCAAGGGCAAGGAGAACAAACCAAGTAAGTGCCGAGTCCCGACCCAGCCCCCCACCTCCCCTCCAGGTCCCCCAAAGCCTCAGTTCTCAGCGTCATTCCGGAAGTGCCTCGGCAGTCTACACAGGCATCACGAGTTAGGAATAGTTTGAGAAATGGAAAGGGTAACCTCACCAATGCCAGATCTGGAAGTATTTATAAAGCCAAAAGAGTTAAACCACGTAGTTCTGGTGACTCTTAATAGGACTTGATAAGGGCAGGAGTTTCCATATCTTTTTCATTTGCTTCCTGGTGCTCTGGGCACATGTTTTTGTTTTCTGATGATTCATAGGCTCTTTCAGGTGGAGAATGGGTTAGCAAGAAAAACAGAGTACTGGAAACAAAGAAGATAACAGCTGGAATAGATGGTTTTGCTTCCTCGGGTGGGGTAAAGAGGTGTGATTTTTAAAATTTGTTTTTATTTTCTATTATTTTTCTAAGGAAGAGTTAATATTTACTGAGTGCTTTCTAAGAGATGCCAGGCATAGCACAAAAGCACTTGTTTTCGTTTGGAGTGGAGGGAGACTAGTAATACAGAAGACGACTTCCTAGGAAGAGGTTACAGCACATCCCAAACAGCTAGACTTACAATCTTCTCTAAACCCCTCTGTTGTTTACCATATTTTCAAGCCTGTGGTTAATAGTTTTACTTATTTTCAGCTCCACTATCTGTACCACCTTCAAAATCTCTACTTCGAACATCCTACCAATGTATTTTGTAGGATTTTCGGGGTTTTTTTGTTTCTTTTGTTTTTTTAACCGTTCGCTCTGGAAAATTTCAAACGCATACCCAAATGGAATAGTGTAATGAACCCCCCATGTACCCATTATCCAGCCTCAGCGGTCTCCAGCTTCATATACTATTTTTTGTTTGTTGTTGTTGTTGATGTCTTTCTTCCAGTTTTATTGAGATATAATTGACATATAGCACATTATAAGTTCAAGGTGTTCAGCATACTTATTTAACTTACATCTATCATGAAATGATGACCACAGTAAGTTTAGTGAACACCCACCATCTTGTACAGATACAGAATTAAAGAAATAGAAAAAAAATTGTTTTTTCCTTGTGATGAGGACTCTTAGGATTTACTCATAACAGCTTTCATACATAATGCACAACAGTGCCTATTATATTTACCACGTGGTACATGACATCCCTAATTCTTTTTTTTTTTTCCTAATTCTTATCTTAGAACTCGAAGATTGTGCCTTTTGACTGCCTTCATCCAATTCCCCTTCCCCCTACCCCTCACCTCTAGTAACCACAAATCTGATCTCTTTTTCTATGAGTTCGTTTATTTCTTTATTTTTTTAATTTATTTATTTATTTGGCTGCAGTGGGTCTTAGTTGCGGCACGCGGGATCTTTGTTGCCGTGTGCGGGATCTTCATTGCGGCATGCAGGACCTTTAGTTGCGGCATGTGGGGTCTAGTTCCCTGACCAGGGATGGAACCCGGGCCCCCTGCATTGGGAGCGCGGAGCCTTAGCCACTGGACCACCAGGGAAGTCCCCTTTTTTGTTTATTTTTGAAGTATAATTGACCTATAACACTATGTTAGTTCCTGGTGCATAACATAGTGATTTAGTGTTTCTGTACATTTCAAAATCGCCGTCATGATAAGTCTAGTTACCATCTGTCACCATACAAATATTATACGTAGTTATTGACTATATTCCCCACACTGTGCATTTCATACCTATGATTCATTTATTTTGCAACTGAAAATTTGTACCTCTTACCCTCCCTCACCTATTTCTCTCCTCGCCCCCCACCCCCCCAGCCTCTGGCAACCACCTGTTTGTTCTCTGTATCTCTGACTGTTTCTGTTTGGTTATGTTCGTTCATTTGTTTTTATTTTTTAGAGTCCACATATAAGTGATATCATACAGTATTTGTCTGATTTATCTCACTTAGTGTAAGATCCTCTAGGTCCTTCCACGTTGTTGCAAATGTCGAGATTTCCTTCTTTTTTATGGCTAATATTCCATTGTTTATATGTACCACATCTTCTTTATCCATTTGTCTATCGATGGGCACGTATGTTGTTTCCATATCTTGACTATTGTGAATAATGTTTCAGTAAACGTTGGGGTGCATATATCTTTTTGAATTAATGTTTTCATTTTCTTCAGATAAATACCCATGAGTGGAATTGCTGGATTGTATGGTCGTTCTATTTTTAATTTTTTGAGGACTCTCCCTGCTGTTTTCCATAGTGGCTACACCAATTTACGTTCCCAGTGCAGTGCACTGGGGTTCCCTTTTCTCCACATACTCACCAACACTTGTCATTTGTTGTCGTTTTTTTTTTTTTTTTTTTTTTTTTGTCTGCATTGGGTCTTTGTGGCTGCACACGGGCTTTTCTCTAGTTGTGGTAAGTGGGGGCTACTCTTCATTGCAGTGCGCGGGCTTCTCATTGCGGTGGCTTCTCTTGTTGCGGAGCATGGGCTCTAGGCACATGGGCTTCAGTAGCTGTGGCTCACGGGCTCAGTAGTTGTGGCTTGTGGTCTCAGTTGTTGTGGGTCACAGGCTTCAGCAGTTGTGGCACCTGGGCTCAGTAGTTGTGGCTCGTGGGCTCTAGAGCACAGGCTCAGTAGTTGTGGTGCATGGGCTTAGTCGTTCCACAGCACGTGGGATCTTCCCAGACCAGGGCTCGAACCCATGTCCCCTGCATTGGCAGGTGGATTCTTAACGACTGTGCCACCAGGGAAGTCCCTGTTTGCTGTCTTTTTGATGACAGCCATTCTGACAGGTGTGAGGTGATAATCTCATTGTGGTTTTGATTTGCATCTCCCTGATGATCAGTGATGTTGAACATTTTTTTGTGTGCCTGTTGGCCATCTGTATGCCTTCTTTGGAAAAATGTCTGTTCAGGTCCTCTGCCCAGTTTGTAATTTTGGGGTTTTTTTTTATGTTGAGTTGTATGTGTTCTTTGTATAGTTTGCATATTAACCCTGTATCGGATATATCATTTGCAAATACCTTTCCCATTCAGTAGGCTGTCTTTTCATTTTGTTGATAGTTTCCTTTGCTGTGCAAAAGCTTTTTAATTTAATGTAACCTCATTTGTTTATTTTTGCTTTTGTTTTCCTTGCCCGAGGAGACATACCCCCCAAAATATTGCCAGGTCAAAGAGCATACTGCCTATGTTTTCTTCTAGAAGTTTTATCATTTCAGGTTTTACATTTAAGTCTTTAATCCATTTTGAGGGGTTTTTTTGTATATGGTGTGAGAAAGTAGTCCAGTTTGATTCTTTTGCATGTAGCTATCTAGTTTTACCAATACCATTTATTGAAGGGGCTGTCTTTTCCTCATTGTATATCCTTGCCTCCTTTGTCATAGATTAATTGCCCATATAAGTGTGGGTTCATTTCTGAGCTCTCTATTCTGTTCCACAGCTTCCCGTCATTTTTGTTTCATCTCTCCCTTTATTTATTTATTTTTTGGTTTGGTTATGTTTCTGCTGGAGTATCTTAAATTCTAGACATTGTATCAATTCACCTTTAAATACTAAAGTACACAAATATATAATCTATCATTGTCACTCCTGCTTCCCCAGTGTTCTTGAAAATAATTTTATAGTTGGTTTGTTTGAATTGGACCAAAGTAACCTCGTCACATTACATTTGCTTGATATGCTCTTAACTTTCTCTCTCTCTCTTTTTTAAGGTAATAGACTTTTAGGTTTTAGGTTTATAGAGAAGTTGAGCAGAAAGTACAGGGCTCCCGTATACACTCCCCCTCACCCCCATTTCCCTTGTTATTCACGTCTTGATTAGTGTGGTACTCTTAAATCTCCTTTAACCTATAAAACAGTTCCCAGGCTTTTTTTTTTTTTTTTAATTTATTTGTTGGCAAAACTGGGTCATTTGTTGTATAGGATGTTCTGCATTCTGGATTTGCCCATGTTTAGCATGTTCCTGTCCCTTGTGTATTCTTGAGTATCAGTGGTTAGATTTAGAAATTTGATTAGATTCAGGTCTTATATTTTTGGCAAGAAAACTTCCCAGGTGGTTCTGTGGACTGCCTTTCGCATCACGTGAGGCACCTGATGTCTGGTGGCCCAGTTTTCATGATGTGAAGATGGATTAGGTTGAACACGTCCTGGGATGGCAGCTGCCCTGGAAACACCTTTTCCCTTTTCTGCGATCCTCCTCCCTCCTGTGAGCCTGCCTGGCTTCTGTGATCCAAAGCCCTCCTTCTGGGCACCCCGATCCAGGCCCCAAGGCCTTGATAGGTAGGGATGAGAGGTGCAGGTAGTCTGAGCCCAGGAAAGAGCTGTGGGTGGGATTTCCCTGGTGGCGCAGTGGTTAAGAATCCACCTGCCAATGCAGGGGACACAGGTTTGAGCCCTGGTCCGGGAAGATCCCACATGCCGCGGAGCAGCTAAGCCCGTGCGCCACAACTACTGAGCCTGCGCTGTAGAGCCCACGAGCCACAACTACTGAAGCCCACGCGCCTAGAGCCCGTGCTCCACAACAAGAGAAGCCACCTCAATGAGAAAGCCACGCACCGCAATGAAGACTAGCCCCCGCTCGCTGCAACTAGAGAAAGCCTGCGCACAGCAACATAGACCCAATGCAGCCATAACTAACTAACTAACTAACTAACTAACAAAAAAAGAGCTATGGGTGGCCCCTACCTCTCCCCCAGGTTACATCCACTACCAGCCTGCCCAGGACCGGATGCAGCCCCACCTCCTGGAGATGCTGATTCAGCTACCGGCCAGCTCGGTCACCAAGGTCTCCATCCAGTTTGAGCGGGCGCTGCTTAAGTGGACCGAGTACACCCCGGACCCCAACCACGGCTTCTACGTCAGGTGGGCTCCCCCGACCTGCTGCCCCCACCCTCCTGACCCACCCTCTCTGCCACTTACCCTTGATGGAGGAGCTGTGAGGAACACGGCTCACAGAATATCTGTCTGCTTCTCTGCAGCCCATCTGTCCTCAGTGCCCTCGTGCCCAGCGAGGTGGCCGCCCAACCCGTGGACTGGGAAGAGAGTCCCCTCTTCAGCACCCTGTAAGTGTGACCTCAGCCGTGACACCAGCACAGAGGATCAGGTTCCTGCGGGCTGGGCTGGGGCTACATGCTGCCTCTTCCAAAGTAATGAGTAGGTTCCCTCAGTCCTAATTAAAACCCTAGTGGTCTCTAATATTTGTACAGCTTTTATGGAATGTTCCTAAAGAGCTTCTAGGAGAATCAATAGGTGAGAAGCGCAGTATGTATAGCCCAAGTTTACTCATTATTTCCCTTAACAAATATTTAATTGAGCGCTTATCAGATGCCAGGTACTTCAGAGAGCACCATGTGTACCACAGTAAACAAAACAGACTCGCCCCTGCCCTTCCTGTGCTCAGTCTAGAGGGGAGCTGCTAGGTCACTGGGGAGTAGTCTGGTGGGTCATTCAGGAAGGCTGCTTTGAGGAGATGGCCTTTAGGCTGAGACCAGAAGGCTAAGGAAAAGGCAGCCAAGTGGAGGCAGGGCCCCTTCCCTCTCCCTCAGCACCGGAGCTGCTCTCCTGTGATCAGATTTCTGTGTTGAGCTTTAAAAGGCTTTGAGGCTAAGAAGGCTTTGAAAACCCTTACTGCCAAGACTGGCCCAGTGCGGTCCGAGGAGGGGGTGGCGAGACGGCGCGGGTAGCAGCCGGTCCAGCCTCACCTCTCCCTCCCAACCCCCAGCTTCCCAGCCTCCGACAGCTCCAGCTACTTCGTGCGGCTCTACACGGAGCCACTGCTGGTGAGCCTGCCCACGCCGGACTTCAGCATGCCCTACAACGTCATCTGCCTCACGTGCACAGTGGTGGCCGTGTGCTACGGCTCCTTCTACAACCTCCTCACCCGAACCTTCCAGATTGAGGAGCCCAGCAAGGGCGGCCTGGCCAGGCGGCTGGCCAACCTCATCCGGCGCGCCCGAGGCGTCCCCCCGCTCTGAGGCGCGCCCTCCTCACCGCTGGGCTGCTGCTTCTCTCCGAGGTGGGTGGTGACGGACCCCCAGGGCTGCTTCTGCCGCGTGCCCTCCCCCGAGGCAGTTTTTGAACCAAGCTGACCCCTGGATTGGGCCAGGGCCTCAAGTGGCGCTATCAGGACAGTAGCCACTAGCCAGATGTGTGTTTGAATTGAAATTAATTGAAATTGAAAGTGTACTTCCTCAGCCGTACTAGCCCCATTTCAAGTGCTCGGTAACCAAAAGTAATCAGCAGCTGCAGTACTGGGCAGCGAGGACAGATGTTTCCATCACTGCAGAAAGTTCTGTTATACGGTGGCCTGGATAATAGGATGTGCTGAGGAATTCGTATCGTGCAGTAGGTGGAGTTCACTGGGTGTGGAATAAAAAGTGCCTATTTCCTTGGTTCTTTGCCTCCTGTCCCTGAAGCCTGGGAAGAGCTGGGGACTAGGGCGTGTTTGCTGGGTGCCTGAACAGGACCTCCTACCCCATCCCCTCCTCCCCACCAAAGAAACAACCAACCAACCAAATAAAATTCCCCTACCTCCTCCCACCCCTGCCAGAAATTCCTTCCCGTCTCCTGCTTCCCTCCCCGCCCACCATGTCTGACTGTAATTCCCAGAACTCCCTGGGTTTGGCTGGGAGTGTTTTACATCAACATTTCCATGACCATGAAAATGAATCATCCTGCGCCTTTTAGGAGCCCTGAGAACCAGTCCCCATCACCAAGGGTAGGGCTGGAGTGACGGAAGAACTCTGTGTGGTGGTTTTCCAACCAGACTGTGTATTAGAATCATCTGGGGCTCTTGTGAAATAGTGCAGATTCCTGGGGTCCAGACCCTGTGAATTCAGTCGTTCTGGGTGTAGCCTAGACTTCGAGTTTTTATGTTTTTATCAGGCTCCTCTGGAGCTTCTGTTGCAGGTGGTTCTTAGACCACCCACAGGCTTTGAAGCCCACCCCTGCCTACCTCTCCTGGTTGTATAACCCTGGATTCCTATAAAACAAGTCCTTAGGCAGATGTCTGCCCTGCCCCCATCGTCTGTCTCTTCTTCTTACACACTTGGCATCAACTGTATAAGCTACTTGTGGTCTGCCCCTCCCTCCCCCAGTTCTCCCATCATAGTGGTTTGGTGGATTGCCCATCAAACAGAATGCCCTGCTCCACCAACCACATGCCCCCCTCAACTGCTAGGTTCACTCTGACTTACAAAACCAGGTGAGATGTTCCTTCCTCCAGGAATTCTTCCCTGGTACACTGAGCTGCTGTGTGCCCCTCCCCTCCTTGGACTTAGCTTTCATGTTCCTTATCACCCTGGCTGTTACTGTCCTTTAACTTCCATTAGACTAGGAGCTTCCTGGAGGCACAGGGGCTGTCCTCCATCTGGACCTGACTGCACTCAGGACAAGTTGTAAGTGCTGTCAACAGACGTAAATGTATGAATGGGTGTGGGCTATTCTGGCTTGGGGTCTGGGGTCTAGAGGTAGGGATGGGTAGGGTGAGGGGCTTTCTAGAAACCCCACAAGTATGAGTGCAGTCTTTAACACAGTAGGATTGGTCATGTCTGTACAGCTAACATAGATGGGGCTGTTCAGGTTACCTCTGAAGGTTTTCCAAGAGCCTCTAGAACATACAGACGACGTGTGTGTGTGTGTGTGTGTGTGTGTGTGTGTGTGTGTGTGTGTGTGTGT